TTCAGCAACTAGGACCCTTCGACATCGATTGCTTCGCTAGCGAGCATAACGCCCTTCTGCCAGCTTTCTTTTCTGAGCTCTGGACGCCGCGCGCGCGCGGCGCGAACGCTTTCGCCCAGTCCTGGTCCGGCCTCCGCTGTTACTGTTTTCCACCGCCCAAGCTAGTTCCCCGCGTCCTTCAGCATGCTTTAGAAGCTCTCGCAGATATTGTCCTCGTAGTTTTGGACTGGCCTGGCCAGTTCTGGTGGCCGCTCCTTCGTTCCGGTTCCAGTTGGGCTCCGTTCATCCGGCGTTCCGTCCGTTTTCCTATGGGTCCGGATACACTCCGTTCCGGTCGTGGTTCCGCGGGTTCCTTCTTCGGGCACGGGTTCCCGCTCTGCTCTGTGTTCACTCTCGAGATTCCGTTCTCCGGTGAGCCATTCTCCGCTGCTTCTAATCTCTCTTTTATTTCTCTGCAGACGTGTTTGGTCAGCACGCTTGGTCGCTTGCGGACGCCGGCCTGCCAGCCGACGATCCTCTTCTTTCCAGTCTCCTGTCCGAACTGCGCGCACGCGCGTCCCAATCGCGCGCTGCGGGTACCGTTTCGACATACAGCGGCCATTGGAAACGCTTTAAGTCATTCTGCCAGGCTCGCGGCGTTCCGTTCCTTCCGGCCTCTCCGCTTACTGTCGCTTTGTATTTCACGCTTTTGCTGAGGTCTGCTAAGACTCCGAGCCCCGTCCTTACCTGCTCCGGCGCTATCTTCTTTCACCACTCGATAGCTGGCTTTCGTTCCCCTACAGAACACCCAATGGTCGCTATGACTCGACAGATTGCGCGCCGGACTCTCGTTCAGGGCAAGAATCAGAAGAAACCCTTGCTAGCGTCGCACGTGTTCCGCCTTTTCGACACGTGGCTCTTGGCCCCGGGCGCCGATCTCTTTTCTGCCATGAAGCTCGCTGCTATCTCCCTTTGCTACGCGGGTTTCTTTCGTTTTTCCGACCTGATGACAGTTCAGTGGCAGGAGATCCGCTTCGAGTCTTCGCACATGGAGTGTTTTCTCGAGAAATCTAAGACGGATCAATATCGCGAGGGCCGCTGGGTCCTGATTTCCCGGGTGGGAGGCGATCGCTGCGTCGTGCAGCTAGTCGAGCGTCTGATTCATTTCGGCTGCTACGCTTCAGAAGGGCCGGGTGGCCTCATCCGGAATATCGTTTCTTCTCCTGTTGGTCAGCGCGTCTGCAGCAGCTGCCCTTCCTACCACACGGTGAACTCGTGGTTCAAGGAGGCGGCGCTTCTTCTCGGCCTCGACCCTGACCAGTATGCCACGCACTCAGGTCGCCGCGGGGGCGCGACGCGCGCGGCCAATGTCGACGTCCCTGATCGTCTCTTCAAGGAGCACGGCGGCTGGCGCTCCGAGCGCGCCAAGGATGGCTACGTAGTGACACGCTTACAGGCACGCCTCGCTGTCACTCGTTCTTTAGGCCTTCAGCCCGGTGTGTCTTTGTCCGAGCTTCAGCGCTTCGAGCGGGAAGCCCGTTTAGCTTAGGCGACTTTTTCCTAGCACTCTGCCTCTGACTTCTGTAGCTCCACGAGCACGCTTGCCAATTCATTTGCCATTCCCTCGTGTATGTGTGTGTGTGTGTTGTGCTTGCTAATTTCAAAGCAAGCAACAAGAGAACTTCTTTGTATTCACTTTGTCCGCCAATTCTGGAGGAGGAGGAGAGAGAGTGTAGCGCCTGTCACCTTCGCATCAAGCCCCGCTGAAATGTAAGCCTCTCTTGTACTCTCTTGCTTCAATCAGCTTGTTGCATGTAAGGGATCATCTGGATTGTGAGACACTGAAGTTTGTGACCTGAATCCATAATGCAACCTCTTTCAAAACAATTCCTTGCAGCCTGAAAGGATACAACACCTCACAGGTGGAGACCTTTCATACATCATACAATTTCCTTGGATATCTGTTGTGCATGCGTTGATGCTTCTGAATGCACTAACTGGCCTGCGCTGATTCGATCGTGCGGCCTTTTTTTTGCATGCAACTGTAACGTGTGGCAGTGACAACCACAGGATGTATCTACGTTACTTGATGACACCTCTTGCGTCTTTCACATCACGAGCATAATCAGACGAAAATAAAGTATCAACCGTCTTGCTTCACATTGCAGCTCCTAATATCTCTGCAATGGCTACACTTACGGCAAAGACTGTTTCAACGCAACCGTTTCAAGGGCAGAAGCCTGGAACATCTGGACTTAGGAAGAAGGTGAGCCTCTGCGTACTCTAGGTTTTTAGCATATGTTCTCAGATTCACTGATTTGGGATGCTGCTTAAGAACCCTAAAGACCAGCTCTTCGTGCCTTTACATTCGGTGTAAGCTGTGAGTTAATGGTCCAAAGGAATGGGCCTCTTCAGATTTTAAATCCAGGGGGACATCACATCAATCTACCACCAGCTTCTGAGGGTCAGGGATCCATCTTTGATAAGAGGCTTGGATACCAAGTGAGCAATGCATTGGATACGTGGAAGGAACTGAAGCTCGAGCAAGACATTGGGATGCAGATCCTGTTGTTTTATCAGATGGTTAGTCCAGGCACCTTATTAGTGTGGAGACAAGTCTTCATTCAGCACTGCGTCTGTCATGGAAAGTGAGAAGAATAGCAGATGACATTTCGTTGGTCAAGCTATAACGCAGTGCTTTGACTGCCTCCTCTCTGCCCGGCAAGGTGCCAAACTTTCAGAGAACAGTGGGTGGTTACTTCGAGCAAGCTACCTACACGTCAGTCTTCATTTGTGAATGAGAGAATGTTGTCTCACTGGCTTCGCAAAAATCAGTCTTTTGAACGATAATTGGCCGCCACGCAAAAAGTTCTGTCGAGCTGAAGGGATCTGCTTGCTTTCCAAAACAGGCTAACAAGTCAGCCTCATCCACAATTCACCAACCTGGAATTTTCTGATCTTGACAGGTGACTGAGTTTCAGAAACCGCACTACCTGGCCAACTTTGTACAGTCCACATTTGATGCCCTCCCACAGGACAAAGTCAAAGGTGAGTGGAGTGCTTGCACTCAATCTTGTAGCTCCTCTTCACATCTGGCGCATAACGACAATTGCCCTGCAATGACTCTGCTTGAAATGTCCTTTTTTTCCATGACTTTGAGGCTAGAAGGATTTGCACCAGGGCGAATAGTGGTCGTTACACTTCCTTCGTAGCTGACAACCTTCACAACTAAGGCTGATAGAAAGTTTAACAGCTGCGATCTTCACACTTTGGCCAGAAGAAAGAGTCAGTCAAGGGTTCAAATTCAGCTCAGGTGTATTTTTGTACAGCTGCTTAACTGGGAGCAAGAAAAGCTCGACAACATCTTCACAATGCAATCATTGCTGTGTGCAGGGGCTACACTGGTTGTTTCAGGGGATGGCCGGTACTTCTCCAAGGATGCAATCCAGGTGAAAGATTCCTGTCATGCTAGGGTGATAATCAGCACACGGCATCAGAAAGAAACCATGTTTGTTTTTCAATATCGATCTAAGTTGCAATTTCCAAGGATTGAGCAGCTCCTTTGTTGAAACTTTGGACAAAACTTGACTTTAAACCACTACTCGATGACTTTCTTATCTATCAAGGTTCATTGTGGCATTCTTCCTCATTGTGACAAGGCCAGGAACATGCTGCAGCAGAAGTTGGTCCTCATGATGAATCTGACGTGCAGATCATTGCTGGCATTGCGGCAGCGAATGGGGTTGGTCACATCTGGATTGGGGAGAAGGGTCTCCTGTCCACGCCTGCAGTCTCAGCCGTCATTCGCAATCGGGTTGGAGCTGGGGTGAGTGATATGACTGAGCCACAATCAGTACCATGAATCAACCAGGGGCTGAGCACACTGTATGCCAATTTGAACCTCCCACATCAACAATCATTGAGTAGACAAGCTCGAGCTCAGGGAATTTGTGTGCTGAATGTTTAGCAGCTGTGGCCAAATGAGTCGCATGATAACAAGAAACAGTGCGGTATGCTCCTACTTCGGAGCAAGCTTAAGGGGAGCATGGGAAGTCCTGGCGCTCCCGAATTGGAGCAGTGGAAGACGTCTCTGGCTCACAGGTTGTGTCTTCTCTATTTAGCTGCCAAGAGTCGACAATGGGTTAATTCACTAGACAGACTTTGATCAGTGAAGTTTGCCGGTACAGACTTCCTTCAGCAGAAACCAAGAAAATTGATTCTAATTGAAAATGACATCTCAAACGGTGTTTGCGTAGCGTAAAATGAGAAGGACTTGGAAAGGTGCAGGCTTCCGAATTGAGTGACATAAATATTGCTAAGAGTTCCAAACCGCTAAATGATAGTGCAAGCTAGTTTATGCTCAAGTCATCCCCACCCAATCCTTCAAGGTTGACAGAGGGTCTAGGAATGGATTCGTACTCAAAGATCTCCATATTGAACAGCTTGTGGGCCTGATCTGTGCAGGGCAAGAAGGCCAGCGGGGCCTTCATCCTGACCGCCAGCCACAACCCGGGAGGCCCTCACGAGGTATCTTTCTGTCTCGAGCTTTTCCAATCACTTATTTCCAATGCCGCCTTGCTTTTGAAATTGCCGCGTTGAGGATGGGTGCTTTGTGAACCTGCTTTAGGAATGCCTTTTTCTTTGTGTCAGTCTGCACTCTTGCCAGAGTGCTAGGAAGTCCTGAGATGTCATGTCCTCTTGTCACAAATCACTAGGCTGGGTGTGGAAAGGTTGTCCCCTTCGATCACTTCTGTTGAGTGGGAGCCCTTCAAGGTGTTCGATGGCGCGTCTGGTCCTTAAACGCTGCACTCGACTGATCAAGCAGCTCTGTCATAAAAGCAATTGGACAGGAACAGTTTGCTCGAGCCAATCCAAAAGCGAGTTTAGCATTCCTAGCATCCTCCATGGTTGATGTTTCCCTTTCCGCTGCAGGACTTTGGCATCAAGTACAACACAGACAATGGAGGACCTGCCCTAGAGAGCCTCACCGATGCAATCTTCGAGGGCACCAAAACCATCAAGGAGTACAAGACCGTGGACGGCTTGCCCGAGGTGTGTATCCTCTCAAAATCTGTCGTTTACAACGAGCTTGCTTGATCAGCCCGTCGAGCTCTGGTGCACTCTCAAAGCTTCTGCATCCCCAATTTGAGAATGTTACTTTGAGAACGGGTTCGCAAGGGGTTCGCAAGGGCTTCCAAAGAAAGTCCTCTGAAATAATCGGAGCAATTTCTGAGATTCCGTCTACACACCCCAACCTGGAAGGAGCCACTATCAAGTAGCAGGAATCGGCCCCACTTAAGTACTTGAACCTCGGGCATATACAGGTGAAGCGGTCTTTAGCAAGCCATATTACTTCTTCTTTTCCAGAGATTCGCTTTCATCCAGAACAACCCTTGCCTCGGGACCAGTTCACTCGCCCCTGTAGTTCCACGTGTGGATCTTGTAACACTCTCCACTTACATAGTGGAAACTTTACTTCCAGTTTGACCTCACGAAGATCGGCGTCACCGAGTTCAAGGGCCCCGAAGGTCCCTTTGCCGTCGAAATTATCAGCGCAACAGAGGACTACGTCAAGCTGATGAAGTAAGGGGTTCGGGAGCGCGTCAAATTCAGAGCAACGCAGATAGAATCCGTCCCTGTGCATTGTGAACGACGTCGACATCTTCGTTCCTTCTGGCCGGAGCCCCGCGTTTTTAGCACGAGGGGAGGTCACGTGAGCTTCTACGACATGTTGGCTGTGGCTGAAGCAGAGCTTCTTGAAGGCTTTTCGTTACTGTAGATGCAGAAATCTACCTCATCGCCCTTCTCAAATCTGACAACCCTGCGCTGTGCAGGAGCATCTTCGACTTTGGGGCGCTCAAAGAGCTCTTGGCTCGCAAAGACTTCACCTTCGTGTAAGTCCTTTTACGCCAAGTCGGGCGCAGCCTGCATGTGATTCTCGAAGCTTCTGCATCCTTCTCTCGGATTGCAGCGTCAATAGATTCTTGAGTTCTTGCGGTTGCCGGTCTCTACACGTGGAGACGTTGACCTCCTTCGGAAGTAAGCTGACAAAGAGTCTTCTGAGTCGGAATCTGGTTTGGAAAGGGGCGCTTCTTGATGTTTGCTCGACGCTTTCTAAGTAAGAGGTCTGAAAGAGCTGGCCTTCCTGCAGGTACGATGCCCTCAACGGAGTTGCTGGAGCCTATGCCCCTGCCATCTTTGTTGACGAGCTTGGCGCGGACCCCGCAAGCCTAAAGCGGTGCGTCCCAAAGGTAAGCCGCACAGCCCGCATCTCCCTTCCAGCGATCGCAACTGCCGCTAGCCTACCACATCAATTTCGAGCCTAGCAAACCAGGCCCGCGAATCAAGGCCTCGTTTTGGACGTTTTCATGGTTGCAACGAGTTGGACGTCAACGTTTGGAAGTGACCTACAATTGCCATTTTGAATGACTTACAGCAAGACGTAAGTTAGACAGCACGCCCGCCCATCCAAGAATAAGGCTGGATTCGGGATTTGCATGTGACCACCTTTCCTCAGAGAACTACAAATCATCGTGTTCTCTAAAATGCATCAGAAGAAAAGTTACGTCTTTTGGAGTGCTAAAAATCCAAAAGCGAGGAACCCCCATCGATTCCACAGCCCTGAACCGTGTGCTTGTCAGAATTTCAGCATCTGGCCGGGGTCGCTCCAAATGGTCGACGGGCAGAAAAGCAGGCACAGGTTTCAAAAAAGTCCTATTGACAGCTTGTCTCTTCAAATTCTTGCAGGAGGACTTCGGCGGCGAGCACCCCGACCCCAATCTGACCTACGCCAAGCACCTGGTGCACGACATGGGACTGGGAGCTGAGGTTCCGGACACCATCCCCGAGTTTGGTGCGGCTGCGGACGGTGACGCGGACAGGAACATGATCCTTGGAAAGAAGTGAGTGCGCATTTCGTTTCAAATCTTAAAGTGGAACCCGTTGCTACAATGCAGCTGGCTTAGTAACAGCGATCCATTTTGTGGAACTGTTGGTGTCCTTGCAGAAGTTGGCTGTGCCGAAGCTGCTTTGTAGCGTCCAGGTCGGTGCCGTCGAAGGTTTTATCGTAACCGGAGAAATTTTTCGCGTGTCCAAATTTTCGGTCGATACCGAGCCTCGATCGGCAGCCGTCGGATGGCATAATCGACGGTCGAAACCTGTTCGATGCGTCGCTTCCGGGCGCCCACAGAAATTCTGGAAAAGTGGTCATCCTGGCGGGTATATAAGCGGTCATTCGCAGTTGGTTAGGCATACCTTTCTCGGCCTTTTGGCTAAGATCAAGTGTAGTATCTGTTCTAATTAGTTTAATCGCTAATTTCTAACTCATTGAGTTAGATGTGATTAACCTTATTTTTCGGGGCGGATGACCAATGGGCAGTTTACTGCTCGGTCATCCAGAGTGCGCATGGTACTGCACTACCTCCTTGCAGCGCTCAGCCCACCTCCCCGCAAGGGGTCACCAACAAATCATCTCCCCCTTCAAAATCATTAGCCCCATGCATCCCTCACCCTTCATGCACCTTCCATGCACCACTTCTTCCACTCCACCAATATCTACCTCTTCAGAGCTATTTGCTCAACCCAATGCACCCTCCATCTTCCCTCAACCCCCATAATTGCCATTCGTTGTCCAATCCTGGAGCGATCCGAAAACATTGTCTTCACTTGACCAGCCATAAAACCTCCCATCGGAAGACACTCCCTGCCAGTCCATGCTGGTTCCTGACACTAGACCTTTCATCAGTGCACAATTTTGCATCCTATCGAGCACCAGATCTGTGACATGGTTCTTCTCCCCTTCTCGCGCAAAACACCTCAAAGGGTCAAAGCTACTTTGTTCAATCCAAACAGATCTCTACGATTAGCCACAAGCAATCTTGTTGCTGCAAACTCCCCAGCCATAAATAGCGCCCACTGCTGATGCCACACAATCTGAACAATTTTGAAAAATACCATCTTTGCTTTACTATGAACCACCATTGCATCAATCCCTTGAAGTCAATTTGGTCACTGAGGATCAGCGCACTCTAGTGTGGACGAAGACACCTTCTTTTGATCTCTTGGGTGCTTTTCCTGTTTGGATGCACATACGGTCATTCTTAGATTCGCCCTTCTTATCATTTCAGGTTCTTTGTTACCCCCTCCGACTCGGTTGCTATCATTGCTGCCAATGCTGAGGCATCCATCCCCTACTTCAAGTCTGGGCTCAAGGGGGTTGCCAGGTGAGATACATTCACTTTGTAAAAACATGTGCCCTTCTCCCATTCGTTTATGGTTTATCACAATCTGTGGGTTTCTGCGGTGCTGAGATGTTACACAACAGCTGCACCAAGTTCACAAGTGGTTGGACGACCTGCTATGATTGATCGTATGCAGGTGGATCATGGAGGTCAATCAGGATGCTTTTTGTTGATCGTTGTACGCCACAGAAAGTCAGGTTTGCATTAGCTGCACGAGCAAAGGCATGGGAACAAGATTATACTTCTGATGACGACCTTTTGGATGCAGGAGTATGCCCACTTCTGCCGCGTTGGACGCTGTTGCAACAAAGGCGAAGCTCAAGTTCTTTGAGGTGAGCCTTCTGAGAAGAGAAAAAGCTCTATCCCTGGTAGTGGGATCTGCAAAACCATTTTCGTGCTTGAAGGTCGATTCCAAAAGGTGTTTGCGGGCAGTCGTGGGTAGTCGGTTGCTGGACGTGATGAACTTCAGAATTTCAGACATCAAGCAAGCTCATTGCATCACTTGTGGGTACTGTCCCAAAGTCAAATTAGGTATGTCCTGAAGTCAAATCATGCAACTGTCCTTTGGGTTTCTCCATGAATACGCAGACTGTCATGGGAAAGAAACAACAAAATTCACCAGGGGAGCATTCATCAGGTGTACGAGAACCTAATCCGAGGCTGATAGTCGCCCATCTTGTTGCAGGTGCCCACCGGGTGGAAGTTCTTTGGCAACTTGATGGACGCTGGCATGTGCTCAGTCTGTGGAGAGGAGAGCTTCGGCACGGGTGAGCTCGCCTCTTATGAACAATCCAGTCCAGACTTTAAGGAGAACGAACGGAGTAGCAGTTGGAAAAGGGGACACCATAGTTGATTGAGAAGTAAGTGGAGGAAAGGCCATCTGAGTTGAGGCAGGACAAACGGGGCAGTTGAAAGGAATCAGTGGCCAGATGAACAGAACGAAACACGACTCCCTCGGTGCATACAAGCCACAGCATTGAGAAGCAGCTTTCGTCGTCCCAAATTCAGCCGTGCTTGCTCCGTTTGCGTTCCCCCCGTCCCGCAATCTCACTTTTGGCATGCTTCCTTCCAACTATTCGATTGCTCATACTTTTTGACGACAGGCTCGGACCACATCCGCGAGAAGGATGGCATCTGGGCCGTGCTGGCGTGGCTGTCGATCCTGGCGCACCGCAACAACGGCAGCGAGCAGCTGGTGACGGTGGAGCACATCGTGCGCGAGCACTGGAAGACCTACGGCCGCCACTATTACACGCGCTACGACTATGAGGTGACGCCCGGCTCCTCGCTTTTAGCATGGACGGATGATACTGTCCATCGATCCTTGTTTGGTCGGTGGCTAATGGACTTCGGAGCGGTTGCGTTTCAGGAGAATCGAGTAATCAGACACAAGCTTCATGTTCAGGACAAAACCTGTTGTTCTACGCAAAGCCTTGTCATGCTTCAGTGGAGTGACTTATTCTTTGTAAAGACGGCATCCGGAGCTGGCGGTAACCTGCCACCCCGAACTAGAACCTGTGGAACCTGAGAAGGGATCGGAACAGTCGTATGGGAGCTTTTACCTGTGCAGCAAAATGATCGAGGCTACTCACTCTGCAGGGAGTGGAGTCGGACGCCGCCAACAAGCTCATGGCGCACCTGATCGAGCAACAAGGGGACTTGGCAGCGTTGAACAAGTGCGTTCAACTTTTCGTTGCCCTTCTCAAACGACCCCTCGCGTCGCTTGGGCACACTTCAACTATTGGACTATTCGAACGGCCGTCAGGAATCCGCCTTCTTCGTGCTGATGTCACCCAGTTTCAAACCAATTGATTGTGACGTTTCCCGCGTTCATCCTCCGTTCGCCTAGTCCGATCAACGGGTCAATTCACCTCTAATCCATTTCTCCTAACTGGCTCTCAACCGCTTCGACCTTGTCCAGTCTTCGTCGGCTTAGTGAATAATCCTTTCAGATTATTGGGGCCATTGCGCATTTGTTACTGAGAACGCTGAAGCTTCGTGCCAATTTGAGCCGCATCTGAACAGATTTGACACCGGTGCCTGACCCATTTGCAGGCTGGTCAAGGCGACCAACTCCGCGGTTGCCGAGGTTGAGAAGGGCGACGAGTTTGAGTACAAGGACCCCGTGGACGGCAGCGTCGCCAAGCACCAGGGCGTGCGCTTCCTCTTCAAGGACGGCTCCCGCCTGGTACGTACCTCACCTTCGCTGCTTCTGATGACAACGGCTGACAGGGTCACCCACTATCTTGGTTGAAAAGAACCAAGATGATCTCATTTTGGATCAGGGCGCTCAATCGCCGATGAAATCGAACACCAGGGCTTCGCATCTCTGGTGTCTGCTTGTCTTTTGCTGATGACATTTTACTATGAGATTTCGTCGTCAGCATGCTACTTTGGTCCCTAGTGCTGCAAAGCAGCTGCTTCTGTCCACCCTCATCTTTTCCGTCCGCTCACCTTGTCCGTCCGTCCGTCGGCAGGTGTTCCGGCTGTCCGGTACCGGCTCCGCGGGCGCCACCATCCGTTTGTACATTGAGCAGTACCAGTCGGACGAGAGCAAGCTCGGACTGGACGCCAAGGACGCTCTTGCCCCCCTCGTAAGTCAACACGTTGAATGCCTTTGAAGGTCCCGTACTACGTTGAGTGACATTGGTACGGTTTTACATGGCAGAGATTATGGACACTTTTCCTTCAAGTCAGTGCTGGAATTGCAACCATTGGCTGTGATAGCCTCGATTGTGGAAACTCCATCAGGTCTTCTTTCCACAAGATGTCTCCGGTCAGGTTTTGTACGAGAGATCTGAGTTGGCTGATTTTTGGGGTTAAGCAAAGTCGTTTGTCGGCTCAAAGATTTTCCAGGTGCTTGGATGCAAAGCTTGACACAGCAGCGAACGTGCTCTCTCTCTCTTGAAATCCAAGGCTCTTCTCGAGCCCGGATGCCTTCGATCTTTCGATCGGTGAAGTCCTGACACTCATAGGTCCTGTTGTTTGGCTTCTGCGGGCAGCTTGAAAGTCTCACTCATTATTCGCGCTGTCTTTGTCGCTTCCCGCCACGAGCCATTGGTCAAGTAGTCCAAAGGAAATATGTTTGGCACTGAAAAGGTCACGAGATAAGCAACAATACTAGCTCTACGAGGCCTATAGTTGAGGTCTGCAATGGGACTGGCGGAACCAGTGGACATCAAGCTGCTCGTACCTTCTCGGCTGTTCTGACTTCGAGCTGGTGTATTGCAGGTTGACGTTGCCCTGGCAGTGTCTAAAATGAAGGACTTCACTGGCCGTGAGGAGCCAACCGTCATCACCTAGAGAGACGTCAAAAGAAACCCGAAGAGGCTTTTTTGAATACAATGAATCAGATTGGGAGGTCCAAAAGGATAGCGTAGCTTTGGAGCGGATGTTCATGGCATGGAAGCCAAAGAGTGCCAGCCTCTCCGTGCTTGATGCCCATGTGTGCGTCCATGCACAGACCTTCCTTGCTCTAGCTTTGAATCTCATTTGGGATGCATATGTATCAAGTCTCAAGAGCTTGGAGCTTCTTCTACAATGCCTCCACAAGTCTCGTTTCATTCCATTTTTGGTTGGACGGCAGTCTTCCGAGAATTCCATCTGTGACCATATCAATGAGTTTATGCATCTTTGAAGCGTGTTCTGGATTCCCATTGGTTAAGACCATGTGCCTTCGAACACTGAAATGCATACCCACAATGGTTCAGATAGGCTGTGCTAATTTCAGAATCACGCGATCGGAAGAATAAGGGGTGTCGTGGTGGATCTTCCCATGTACCTGCTCAATAAAGACAGTCGAGCGCATGTGCGACAACATTCTCATATTACAGCTAGCGAGGACTCACGCCTTGGGGTGCTCGCCGTCGAATGAGCACTCCCTCTGCAGAGCAAGATGCGTGCCCATGGCCACGACGGAAACTGAAGGACGGCACCAGACGGCATTTGCAGAAGGCAGGTCTTCAAACCGACAACTCGGGTTAAAGTAGCCGTACTATTTCGTTTAGAAAGAGGCGGTGCTTGCCAGATGCTTGCGTACGGCTCAAGAAACGGGATGGGTCGCCACCCAATACCCAGTACCCATTGGCATCAGCTTGAAATCCAGCTTTCCAGATCTGAACTCCAGCTAGAGGTCCCACCCCTTCTACCCTTAAAGTTAAACCACCAGGGCAGGCAATATTGAACGGGAATCTGGGAGAGGTGAATTAGGTGGTGGCGCCAGTTGAAGCTGAGTGTATCCGGAATGCGCCTTACAGGTGCAGGTAATCAAAAGAACTCTCTTCACCAAGCCCCTTGGCGGCTGAGGTTTGTAGTCCCAACAATGGAGCATTCGGCCTCTTTATGAGGATTTCACGCCCGCTGACGTACGAGATACAAAGTGAGAAGAATAGAATCCTCTTTTCTGCTTGCAGACGCGCATTCCGCAATTAAGATGCTGATTGCATTGGCTATCGCCCTGTTTTGTTGAATGACTCTGCTTTGAAGGGAATGCAGTGTTGGACCGATTATGGTCTCATGCTTCAGCCAACCAGCTAACCAGTGTGCTGGCTCAAATCTTAGCGGACACATTCTGGAAATCGGCTCTGTCTTTGATGAACCCGGCTTGATCTGGACTAATTGTTTCTTTGTCGGGAACCTTAAGGACGAAAGGAGCATGCATAATGCGAATACAACGTTTCACTCAAGAGCAGCCATTCAAAAGCTTTTGCATTGCTAAGGCCAAAAAGTATTTAAGTCTAATCTCACTCTAGTTCTTTGATGAGCACAAGTGCAACGACCTCCAGTGATCCAATGCCAGATTGTATCTTGAAATCTCACCCTACTCACCAGATCTAGAGACTGGTGTATGAGCAGAATAAAGAAGTTGGAAGTTAAGTGATGTGCAGAATAAGATGGGGGGCAAACAAAAAGCCTGCTGGCTGCATTGCATCTGTCTGGAAATCATCCGTGAGTCAAACATTGGAGTCCTGTTTTCAGCCCCACGCCCACATCGCACTGTAATGCATAAGTGTTGAGCCTGTGGCACATTTTTCAAAGCCATCTGGGCCACAAACTCCCACCGCTTTTGCAATGCAAGTATCTTTCTTTGGTGATACATATGTCAGTTGCCCGCCCTGCTGGAAAACTCTGGCTGACCTCCATTCTTGACCCCACCAGCCAACGTCGGTATCTGAGTCCGCAGTGCGTGATTGATTCACAAAATGCCTCAAAACTCGAAAACTCAGCACTCAAGTCATTTTCCAGGAAAGAAGTCGGGGTCGGTGGGTCACTGGCCGCACCAACAAGCCCTAGGATGGATCCCATTGAACGAGCCTACCTCGCTGGGCTCATGGCTGAAGGCCGCGAGAGAGCGAAACGCTCCGGAGCTGATAAGTACTTTCCGTTCTACGCTGCCAATCGCAACACCTCAGCCTTCCAGCAAGAGCTCGTCCGAAAGCTGCAATGCGGCAGTAGCCGGGAGAGGCGGACCGCGTTCGTCGACCTCCGGCGCCTGAATTGGATGGACCGCACAAAAGAGACGCTGCTCGACGCGGGCCTTCCGGCCGCGCTGATGTCATTCCTCGAGGCCAACGACGGGTGGGACGAGTTTTACGACGAGAGGGGGGAGGAGGTTTGCCCGCGGGACGAGAGCTTCAGCCTGCTTCTCACGTTCTTTGACTGCGCCCATTGCATCTCCAGAGTGAGCGACGAGGCGCTACAGAGTTTGGGGGAGCGCTTTCTGGCGCGGGCGCCGGGACAGGCGATGTCGATGAGCCCGTGCGACTTGGGCCAGATCCTGAAGCTCCTCCGCTTTTGTTTCAAGTACGGGGAGAAACCCCTCGGAAGCAACGAGAAGGCGTTCTTGAAGTTTCTCCCGCGCCTGATGGGTGAGCGTTCGCTGGAGGACGAGTACTGGCCGCTCAAGCTCGCCTGGGTGTCCTGTCTCGAGATCCTGAAACTGCACGAGAAGCGGAGCCTCGGTCCCAGCTCTCCGAGCACTCCGCAGCAACCCCTTTCTAAAGGGTTCCTCTGGGAATCGGCGCCGATCGTCGTTGGCAGTCTCCCCTGGGAAAGTCCCCGGCAGCTCGACACACCCCCCTGGATCTTCACCGCCGTCCAGGAGCCCACGGATGGTGACGTGTCAGAGACACGTGGCAGCATCTCGTTCCCCACCGCGGTCCAGCGCTCGCGGTTGGTGAACGAGGCGGTGGATGCGCTGAAAGGGAGCGGGGGCGTTAACCTCTTTGGCGAGATGGAGTGGTCGATCAGAACCAGGGGGAAGCGAAAGGACATGCTGAGTTGCTCGCGGAGGCGCTTGAGGCGCTCGCCCTCCTTTCGAGAGACCCGGAGATTGCGGGCGGTGCGCTGCTGACCGAAGCGGAAGCACTGCTGGCGCTCCTCAGCAGAGAGTACAAACTATTTTCTGCGCCCTTCGAGGACAGGTACGATCTGCTTTTTGTGAATTTTCTTGTTGCTATGGTCTGGCCTCAAGCAGGTCTCCATCTGGAGTCTGCTGACTGGCATCCGTGATACTGCGAGTTTTCTTGTGTACCAACGGGGTCTATTTGTCTCGTGCTAGAAAGTAGATGTATACGAACTTCGAACCTAGGGTCATATGTTTGAGTGTACGAGGGTCGACGAACAGCGGCTCTCGTTCATGCTGACAGGATTTGAGAAACACGGTCATTCCCTTTGCATAACAGGCGCCACATCTGACAGGTACGATCACTGCACCGACTTCCGCGCTGGGAAGATGCGCCCCGACGACACCACTACGCAAGTCTCCGCCGCATTCCGCGCAATGAACTCCAAAAAGCGGAAGGCCTATGCGGACACCCGCCAGGCGGCCGAGCAGCTGACACGTGTCCTCGCCTCAGTGGCCGAGAGCGCCGGCTCGGACGCCGAGAAGCGCAGGTCCGTCGTCCGGAAACTGTACGAATGCAAGGACGCTCAGTTCGTCGTGAAAGTGAGGCGGGCCGAGAAGGCCTCGCAGCGCTTTGCGGAGTTTTGCGAACGGGAGGGGGGGTGGGTCGGGTCGTTGGACTGGGTCCCGGAACTGCCGCGGCTGTCACGGGGGCTGTGGGCCTTGTTTGCAGCGGAGTTTGGGCTCAAGGAGTGCAGCTATCCGGTGAGGGCTGTCTCGGTCAGAAGCAGGTTCGACTCTTTCAAGTCAGAGAGTGAGCTCGAGGCAGAAAGCAGGTTTGAATCCTTTTTCAGTCAGAATGCCTCTTTGCAGCAGGTCAGTCTTCACTGCGGGAGTTGCTGGGCTGGACATTGAAGATTGAGTAGAGCGGCGGTTGCCTGGGTCCGCGGGACTGGCTCACGTCTGAGGAGTAAGGTTCAGCATCTCCGGAATCAGCAGACTACTTGCTGGTGCTTCTTTTGCGCGAAATTTGGGCCAAAACGGTTTTAGAATTATAGGATCTGTTCTTGTCGACAGCTTTGGCAAAGGGTTTTTCTTGGGTTAGGTGTGATCAAAAAGACGGCACCAGCTCTGTTGGTTTGGAGCCATAAACGTGCATTCACAAGGCTGCGTGCTGCTACATCAGTCCTTGGTGGTAGCGATCTGACTGGTAGTGCGCGATGGATGGATTCCCGACAGTGTCACGCAGGTTTGGAGGCACGGGTAAACCTGCCGTTTGCCTCCTGCTTGTGACACCTGTCAAGTTCCACCATCAGTACTGACGCTCGTTCACGGCGACCTTGGCGACAGGATTGCTACCAGGAGGTCGCCGAGATGAAGCGCGGCAGGCTCGAGAAGTGCAGCGCGTGCAAGACCGTTCAGTATTGCGACGAGGACTGCCAGGCAAGCCTTTCCCCTTGTCGCCCTCCCACAGTGACGTCACCATAATGGAAGTGAGGTGCCCCGATTAGATCAGACTCCCGACCCGGATCGTTTCTTCTTTGCTACTTTGCTTCTTCGCTACGAGGCTGGGCTGGACTTTCGTGATTTAAGACCCGCTTTGGGGACACAATTCCGTCTGCGGATTGCGAAGCCGACCGCTAGGCGTTGCTTCATGTGCGATTCAAGGCGAGACTGCGTATAGGAGAAACGTCCAGAATTTCAGAGGGTCAGAAGTATCTCAAAGATTGAAGAATGAACAGACATCTGCTGGAGGTGTCCTCGTCTCTCCAAGTTCAGTTAGTTTCAACAGTCATTCCGCTCGAAGGTCTAGCTGGAGATAGGAGAGGGCATTTGCGGACCGGTCTTGCATGTTTTTTGTCAAGGTGGCCAGAGTTCTGTACGTCGTTGCGCGATGAACCAGTGAGAATACACGCAGTGCAGCGGGGGATCGCGCTTTTGTTCTGACAAGAAGCGAGCTGCCGTCTGAGATTTCCTCTGAGATAAGCAGTCCGAAAGCCGTTGGTCCATTTGAGAACGAATAACACTACGGCTTCGAAGCGGAACAGATCTGATGCCAGTCTGCTTTCTTGATTCTCTGACGGAGAAACCGCCTTATGTGCGTGGATATTTCTGTGGACGAAAAGCGCTCTTTTTGCTAGCATCCTGTCGTCTAAGCAAGAGCTTCCTCTCTTTTGTGTAGAAAGCTCATTGGAAGGCGCACAAGCCCGAGTGCCAAGGTGTCAAGGCAGCGGCGAAGAAAGCAAGGGTTTCCGCAGTCTGAGTTTGGCAGCGCCTGGTCATGCGTAGAGTTCTTTTTCGTATTGTCGTAGTTTAGTGTACAGATTGTTCGTTGCAAAGTATGTGTTGGGAGTGTGCATATACCTAGTCCGAGGTAGCTACTGCACTTTGCCGTTGCGATGTTATTCCTTTCTTTGTACCTTAGGTATAGGGCATGAAAGGTAGTTGTATGTCAAAAGTGATTGCTGTGTATTCTGCACACGGAACATACATTAGATCCAGTTCTGACGATTCACGCAGGGATTGACCGGACTGGTATAGGTTGGTGCACCTGTGGATTGAACCTGGGTCCCTGACCCTCCTTCTATAACATTGAAGAGACGGGTCGGTATATTTGAACACGGGTCGGACACGGACCCTTATACTTCGATGACGTTGAAGAGTCGCCTATGGGCATGGACATTATGGTACGGTATAATCTTTGCTTTACGTCGAAGTGTCTGCAGTGCTAAGTCAAGGTGCATGCGCGAGTTTCTGGATCAGGTTCAGCCTGGATGGTTACATGCATGCGTATATTTGAGCGAAGACATGCGTCCTGCATCTTAGGATGATGCTTCTTCGTTTCATGAGGCAATTTAAAATCGTATACATGCATTGAATGCACTGCGCATGAGCTGCAGCTCCAGATGAAGATATGCAGCTACCGGGCTATATTGACTTACTGTCATCAACTCAGTTCGTCCCATGAGTACCTATATCTGCAGTCTATCAGCTCTAGGCCGGCATCATGGCATCTGCCAATTGAACGCATGAATTTTATACAAGCGTTGGACTCTCATGAGATGCAGCGGATGTGCATATATGAAGCCTGAACATCGGAAGCCGACCTGGCCTTGTCGTTCCTAATTCCATGCCGTGCGCTCAAATATGCACACTCAGATTAATTGTAAGTAGCATCTTAGTGGCCAAAGGCCTAGACTGAGACGACTGAAAGGCGGACTACTTTTCTTAGGCCTTCATTTGACTCGGAGTACTCGCTCTGAGTCATATTTGCGCGTTCGATTAATGTGGCCGCTAATGAAGAGAAGCGTCCACCAATTTGGATCCATCAGAAGCTCGATGACGAATTCTCAAACACTGCTCCACTCCTTAGTCTGAGCTAGGCTAGCAGAGAACACAGTCGGCGCCACCTTATTTGTATGCTTTAAGGCAGAATCTTGCTCGTCGGCTGACGAGCTTTCACAACCTGAATGTCAGCATCGTACTGCGCAGGCTACCAAAGGTAGTGAAATCTCTGCACTGGCAGATAGCTTGGTAGAAGCACTAGTTGAAGCCGATGTTGGCTTGCGAATCTGCAAAACATGCGCAAGCCTTCTGATACGAGATGTTTCGAGGGCCGGATCTGATTGGCACACGTGTCCGGGCACTGCTTGAGATTTAGCTGTTGAGGATCGACACCAGACCCGTGATGTGATATTCCTGCGCGCAAGTGTTCAGTCTGAAACCAGCATTAGATGGTGTGATTTCAAATCTTCGGTTGGATCACGGAGAGGGGGCTTGAAGAGCAAAACCTGAGGTTGAGGAGCTTTGGGCGTCTGTTTGGAAGTGGTTGCCTGGTCAATATGGCTACATTCGACTTTGCCGCCAAGGTGAGACACTGACCCTGTTCTGGAATGCAAGGCAACAAAGCTGCGTCTCTCATTAGGATCCGCGCCTTCAAATCCGTGCAATTATCTCGAACCTAGTGAAATTTTCCTGCATGCTTTCCTTTCTCATCTTCCATGAACGCAGCGCGCTCAGGAGACTTCAGCTTGAAAGCAGAGGGGTTTGCCAAAAGCCACTTTTGATCCGTTTGGCTACGCAGAGACTTGAGAGCCGAGGCGCCGCGTTATGTGTCAAGGAGTTTGAGCGCTCAGAATTGGCAGGGCGTTGATGAGCAAAAGTAGCAACGTTAGATTGATTGAGAAGGGGCTGAGTGTAAGAAATCTGCTGAGAACCACGGCTTAGCAAGATAGATCCACTTTCTGGCTATGGTGATTAACAAGAAAGGGAAAGAAATAGGCTCAGGCAATTGTGCATGTGACTATTCGTGACGATTTTTTGAACAGGCACTGTGCACTCAGCAAGGTGTTTCTGAGCGGAGCATTTTCTTCTCTCTGCTCATCAGTGAGAGAAAAGAAAGTCAATCTACCATATCCTTCCCGGACTTGAGCAGTTTGATTAAACGGAATAGTGGAATACAAATTGGAATATTGCGAGTGTGAGGTCCCACTCTGGTTACAAGGTCAGCAGCCTCCGCACCACAAAAAGGTTTTTTGTAAGAAGGGTACATTTTGCAATTTTACTTTGGAGAAACATTTCCCTCCTTACGATTGAAATTTTACCAAATTTTTCCCGAAGATCGATCTCCACCTTGCTTAGCTCACATTCAAACTTGATCAAGTGCATGGATTTATGCTGAGAAGGAGGATGTATCTCAGTCCGATCTCGTCTCTTTATTCCAGGGAGCCGCTCGCCGACTCATTTGTCTCTACGTAGACACTTTGAGGAACGAGCAGATCTTCGTTGTCACGGAAGCCTTCTGCGAGCTCGTCTTCGTTGTCACGGAAGACGTCTGCGAGGGTGCAACCGTTCGCTCGAATTGCGCCAGTGGCGGGCCGTCCAAGTTGTACAAGCGCATCAGGGCGTTCCTGCGCGATCGTGAAGCGCTTGACCTCTTCTTCGACAAAGCGCTCGGGCCGCCTCTGACCGGGGAGAAGCACGAGAAGCGGCTCCTCAGAATGAACGTGTGCATCTTACGGGCCCTGCTGAAAGTCAAGGAGTTTTCCAAGCTGCTGAAGGAGGCGGAAGTGCTGCGCCGAATACAGCCGCTTCTGCTACACGTCTCTGGCTGGCTGGATGCCGAGCGCTTCACGGGGCTGGATAACCTCGAGCGTTACATTCTGGCGATGGCCCTCGACGCTCTCGCGGAGTACCTGCAGGCAGACGCGGAAAACGGCTTTGCGCTCGCAGCGAGCGGCATGCTGGCGCCACTCCGATCCCACCTGCCGTGGAAGAGAGGGATGCCGGTACTGGACCTGCAGGGAGCGAAGGAGGTCACGTGGACTCTGAAGACGGTCGTTATCATAATCAGCGGCAGCATCGCGAAGGAGTGGAGCCAGGTTGCGGCGGTGACGTCATAGGCTGGTTTCAGGGCATGATTCTCTGGGCGGCAGCGGCAGCGATGGAAAGCACGGACGAGCAGGCGAGAGCGTCGTTCGACGACTTGGCTCTGTTCGGTTTCTTCCCGCTGGTGTCATTCTTGGAACGCATGTCGGTGCTGACCGTCGTGTTGCCCAGCCTGCTCAAGCAGCTCGCGCCCGCGCGCGCGGTGGCGCAGGAGATGGTGGCTGACGTCAGAGGCCCCTCGGAGACAAGAAAGTACGCGGAGAAGTTCCTGGAGAGCACGAGCAAGTTGCAAGCGCTCTGTGAGGCTCCTCCGAAGAGCCCCTTCGACGCGCGCCCAGAGGAAGACGTTCACGCTGCTCTGCTCGCGGAGTGGCACGAGATGACGGGGGATGACGTCACGCAGGGGCTGATTGACACGAGGCACCCTGCGGACGTCATTGGCACGGATGGCGAGTTCTTAGGGACCAGGGGCAGAGGCACGCGGCTGGAGGAGACCCTTGATTGGACCTGTGTTGTGAGGGACCTTGAGTCTGGAAACGAGGACGCTGTCCGGAATCTTATGCCGCGGGTTGCGCGGCGTCGGAGACGCGGAGCGAGAGAGCTTTCACATCGCTGCGGGGTCTCGGCTTATGGACTGGTTGCGCCCCCGAGTCACGGTCCTGTGCATGCAAGCGCACGTCGTCGCGACCGGTCTCTTGGAGGAAGTCTTCAACGTCACGTGGGCCGTCAAGCAGTTTGCTGTCGTCGAAGCCGGCTACCTGGAGTACGGGTTTGCACTCTTCGATCTGCTGAAGGAGACCACTTCGTGGATGTCCGTGGGGGGAAACGTCTGCCTCTGGTTCGCGGCCATTGGCTACTTGACCGAGATGCTCAGGATTCTGCCAAGCAAGGAGCACGTTCCGCCGCCATTTCTGAAGAGTGACGAGCAGGTTGAAGTCGTGGAGTTGGCAGCGATCGAGAAGGGAGTCCTGGAGTGGGCGGTCGCTCAATCGCAGGTCAAACGTCACTATGACGCAACTCAGCTCAAGGAGCTGATTGTGGCGGTCTTCGAGAGGGTTTCGAAGCACGAGGTGGGGCGGGAACGGTTCGAATCGAACGAGCCTGCTGTCAAGGCGCTGGTCCAGGCAGCCGACGACGCTCTGTTCAAACCGACGCCTGCGGTCTTGTCAAAGCCGGAGGACTTCCGGCTCCGAGACCACCTCGACTGCATTTCTCTGCAAATCAAAGCATGCTGGAACCTGCTGATGTCGGACGCGCCGGATGACAAAGCAAACGAACGGTGGCGCGCCTTTCTGGCGACGGGGGGGATCCCTCTCCTGAAGAAAGTGCTGGGGAAGCGAGAAGTGCTGCTACAGCTGGCGGAAGAGCAATTGCCGCTGCCGATCGGCTTCTGGCCCGTCCCAAAAATGGCAGAAGCGTTGTGGGAAAGGGCGGCAAGCGAGGCGGGCCTCACAGAGTGTGCTAATCCGGTGAGTTGCCCATTTTGGGGCAGAATATATGTTGCGAAAGTTTCAATGCTTGTCTACAGGCTCGTCAAAGATACCAAGGAATGCGAAAGATGTTTGTCATCGTTGAAAACGCCTTTTGCACTGATCTTTGAAACAGAAGGGTCCCATATGCAGACCTCACCAAGATTTGATCGATACGATTCCGCAACTCCAAGCGTTGGATACTTGATGCGCTTGTACGCTTTCCCCGCTTGACGTCGTAGTCCTTCCTTTTGGTCACATGAAAGAGTGCGGGCACTCGTTTCTTCCAGCATCAAACTTTTGCCACAATTCTCTCTCTGGATTGGCGCTTACTGACATTGAGACGAAAATCGATATTTTGCTGACTTACTTGCCGTTACATTGTGGTGAAACCTCCGATCCATTCAGCTCGGCTATTGCGACCACTGGCGTTTCAAATCCGCGGTAGTGTTACAAACGTGTTCTGCGTACCTGCACGGTGCACGGCTGTGGAAGAGGTGAAAGGGGAGTTCAAGAGGTGCGGCCGATGCAAGGAAGTCAGCTACTGTGGCCAACCGTGTCAAGCTGCTGACTGGCGACTACGGCACAAGAAAGTTTGCAAGCCGGTGCAATGAGTGGCATACGCAGATCAGGTGCTTCATTGGTTTCATCAGACCCCAGAACGCCAACAAAGCGACACGCATCGCATGCAGTTTAAGAAGCTTTAAGTAAGCACTGTAGTGCGAAGTCAGACTTCCTTGTCTGGTGCGTAGGGGGACAGCCGTGAAGGGTGCCTGACCTGTATGTGTAACGCCAACCAGCTTTGATAACGGAGGTCTTCAGGGTGCCTACAGAAATAGCTACAGAATTAACGTAACTTTTCCTCGTAGACTCCTGCTTGCTTGATTGATTCTGGCTATGATTAAGGATTTGCCGCCCGCTTGCACGTGAGCGAATTTAGCGCTGCTCCATAATACAGATGCCCATCGGAGTCCTGCCTTCGAGACGGTTATCCTTGCGAGTTCTTTGCAGCACGACTCGATCAGCGGTAGATTTGTCTCGGTGCAGGTGCACTTACTTAACACGCGGCCGCCCTTGAGAGATAAACCCCGCGGCTTTTGCGACTAAATACGCGTGGGCGCCAATCCGGCGTGCCGCAGGCGCGGTCTATATGCACGTGATCCTTGTTGGAATATCGGCGCATTGCATCGTTGCACTTCATGGACAGTCACATGTTGCACACGAGACAATAGCACGAGCGCCTTTCACAGGCGCCTTGCTTCTCTATCATGCTTCTCTGTTGTGTTGATTACAATCATGTTCGATCTGCTCAGTCTTTATAGAGTCTTACACTCTATCTGCAGACTCAATCTGGACCGTTTAGCTTTCCTGATCAACACCGTTTCCCGCCTAAATCTCAGCCATTCATCACTCGTATCTTTGACCGTTGATTCCTCAACCACTTGGTTATTCGATTGACCAGAATTGCTAACCCAATTCTAGCACCTCCTCTCAAGCAAATAACTCTTCACTGTCTTCTTATCTCTCTACTTCCTTTCTTTTCATCATGCTACCTTTTGTACTTCGACTTCGGCGTGGTCCAAACAAAGCTATCTCCGATCGCCCCAAACTTGATTGGACTCCTCCTCTGCCGATCTGGGTAGCGCCTGTCCCCTTCGTCTCTCGTCTCTTGCACACGTTCTCTTGCGCTCTCGTTTCTCTTCGTTTCTTCTGTTTTTCCTTCCACGCTTTCCGCTCCCTTGGTTGACTTCTCGCTCGTCTCCTCCTTCTCCTCACTCACGGACACTTCCTCGGTCCTTTCCTTTTCCTTTTCTTTCTCCTCCTCGCTCTCTTCCACCTTCCGCTCCTCATTTTCCTCACTCTCCTCGTCAAGGTCAACCTCGATCATCTTGACCGTCCTCTTTTCCTCCTTCTTCTCCTTGACAGTCTTCTCCTGTGTATGCACTGTCTCCTCTCTCTTGATTGGTCCCCTTGTGAAGAATGACTTCTGCTCAGCTCCCACAGACTCGATTCTCCACAGACCATTCTCTTGCAATGCCCGCAGCTGCACCACGTTGTTCACCACAATCTGGCAGACTCCCTTTTTCATCACCACTTCTGCTCCTGCATCGGTTGCCTTGCTCAGAGATAGCAAATTTGCCTTTGCTTCTGGCACATGACGCACTTCCTTCAGTGTCACTAGTGTATTGCCTTGAGAAGTCTTGCACAGCACTTCTACTGAGCCTACTCCCACTGCATGCACCTGTTGTCCCCCAATTCCTTCAATACTTTCAGGCTTGCTCAACTTTCTATAGTGCTTGAACTGACTTCGATCTGCTGCAACATGCTGCGTGCTGCCTGAGTCCACTATCCAAGCACCAGATTGCCTAGCTGTTCCGTTGTCCCAAGCATCGAATGCTAGCGTCCTCGAGAATCCAGAAAAGGCTTGCTCTCCAGCTGACCTTTTAGGCTTTCTGCAGACCACTTTCATGTGTCCTCTCCCGCCACAGTTGTGGCACTCTGCATCTTTCATTCTGCAGTTCGCCTTGATATGGCCCTCTCCCCCACAGTAAAAGCATCTTCTGA